TTTTTTTTTTTTTTGCGGTACGCGGGCCTCACACTGTTGTGGCCTCTCCCCTTGCGGAGCACAGGTTCTGGACGCGCAGGCTCAGCGGCCATGGCTCACAGGCCCAGCCGCTCCGCGGCATGTGGGATCCTCCCGGATCGGGGCACGAACCCGTGTCCCCTGCATCGGCAGGCGGACTCTCAACCACCGCGCCACCAGGGAAGTCCTATCACTCTTTTTGATTCCCTCCTACCTCACTGGCTGCCTCTTCTCAGTTTCCTTAGCTGGTTCCCCTATCTTCCTGACCTCTAAATGTTGGGTCAGGGCTCAGTCCTTAGATCTCTTGTCGTCTCCTTCTAGATCTATAGGTTCATGGAAAATACAGGTTTTAAATTCCATGGACCCATTAATGACTCCCAAATTTATATCTCAGCTCTGATTTCTCCCCAGAGCTCCAAACATATAGATGTAATTACTTACTGCACGTCTTCAATGGGATATCCAAAAGGCCCCACAAACATAACATTTAAATCAATCACACAAGCTAAAAACCTTAAGGTCACCTTTAATGCCTCTTTTTCTCATACCACTTATATAAGCCATTAGCAAAGCTGGTCAGCTCTACCTTTCAGAGACAGTATAGTCCTAATCCAACCATATCTCACCTCTCTACTGCTACCACACTGATTCAAGGAGCACAGCCATCACCTGGGTTATTGCAGTGACCTCTTAAACGGTCCTGCTGCTTCCACCTATGCTCCCCTCTAGTCAACAGGAGAGCAAGAGTGGAAGCAAGAGGCCCAGTTAGGAGGTGACAGCACACAATACCCAGAGGGATCCTTTTAATATATGTCATCTCAAGTCACTCTCTGCCAAGACCCTCTAGCGGATTTCCTTCTAAGAGCAATATTCAAAGGCCTTATGGCTTTCAAAACCCTACCCAGTCCGCCCTCACTCAACCTCTCTGACCTTATCCCCCACAACTCTCTGCCTTGCCCACTCCACTCCAGCCACACCAGCATCCTTGCTGTTCCTTTCATTCACTTGCCAAGTGTGATCCTACACCTGGGCCTTTGCACCTTTCTCTTCCCTCTGCCTGAATGTTCTCCCTGATATCTCTACAGTTTGCTCGCTTAAAGGCAACCTGTTAGAAAGGCCTTCCTGGTCAACACTAAATAAAACAGCATCCCCTTCACTTTCTATCAACTCTGTCCCTGCTTTAGTTCTTCTTCATACTATATATGTACTTATTGGTTTATTGTCCGGCTCCCTACACTAGAATATCAGCTCCATGAGGACAAAGACTGTCTTCTGTTCACTGAGATGAATAGTGCCTGGAATATAGGAAGTGCTCAGTAAATCTCTGTTAAATGAATGAATGAACAGGAATAAGATGTTGAAGCAAGGCAATGGTGGAATGCTGACACACGGACATTAAATGATCCCATGATGAGGCTGAAAAGGAATGGGCAGGGGCTTCCCTGGTGGCGCAGTGGTTGAGAGTCCGCCTGCCGATGCAGGGGACACGGGTTCGTGCCCCGGTCCAGGTAGATCCCACATGCTGCGCACGGAGCGGCTGCGCCCGTGAGCCATGGCCGCTGAGCCTGCGCGTCCGGAGCCTGTGCTCCGCAACGGGAGAGGCCACAACAGTGAGAGGCCTGCGTACCGCAAAAAAAAAAAAAAAGGAATGGGCAGAGTTAAGAGCAATGGGTACTTGTAGTGTCAGAAGCCAGGGGAGGAAAGAATTTCAAGAAGGAAAGATCAGAGTTAACTACCAAGAGTAGTCAAGAAAGATAACACCTGAAAAATCACTCCCTGGATCGCCCCTGGAAATGTACAGCTGACCTCATGACAGTGGTTTCAGGGAAGGGGGAGTTGGTGGTAGTGTCAGAGCACAGTGGGCTGAGAAAAGATTGGGAAGTAAAACAGAGGAGGTGGCCGATATAGATGAACTTTTCAAGAAGCAATGGCAGGTGCTGGAGCTGGGGATGGGAGGTCCAGGGGAGAAGATTTTAGGAGGACCATGTGCTTTGACAGTGTCTGCTAGTGTCAGAGATGAGCAATGTGAACACAGAACTACTGTAACAGCCTCCTGACTGTCCCCCTGCCCTCATCTCCCATCTCTGCACCATCTTGTGCTGAGGCCAAATTAATCTCTCCTGTCCACTCCCAAGCTCAGAAACTACGAAAAATTCTCCTGTGCCTAAAGATAGAAACCCACATTTTAGCATTTAAGTTTTTCCATGATCTGACTACAATTTCTCCCCATGTCTTCTCTTCTTACCTTCAGATGCCACTTTTTTTTAAATTGAAATATAGTTTGATTTGCCATATTATATTAGTTTCAGGTGTAAAGCAAAGTGATTGTTATACGTATACATGTATTTTTTTCAGATTCTTTTCCATTATTGGTATAACAAGATACTGAATATAGTTCCCTGTGCTATACGGTAAGTCCTTGTTGTTTATCTCTTTTATATATAGTAGTGAGTACTCAGATGCCACTCTCATAAAGCCTCTCTGACCTACCAGTAGGAAGCCAGTTCTGCTTCTGGACTACTGTGAAACTCACACCTCCATCTGTCTTCCAGCCCTAGTACTTTTCTACCACACGGTGCCATTTACACACCTCTTAACTCCTCTAAGACACCATCAGTTATTTGAGAGCTGGAGCCACATCTGACTTATCTTTGTATCTTCACAAGGAAGGTGCTCAAATATTTGAGCAAATAAAGGAATAACCAAACAAATCAGTCCTACTCTGTGCCTTGGCACTTGGAATAAATGTAGCCCAGAGCCAGGTGAACCGAATGAACACCTGGCAGACAACAGGCGTGGCAAGCGGCTGGGACGGCTGCCTTGCCACGGACCCCTGTAGCTGGAAAGCTGCCTCTACAGATGGACAGATGGACTTGAATGAGGGTGACGTACAGCTGAATTACTATTTCTTGATACTTGTGCTTACAGGCAGAGGGGTTGACAGACTAAACCAGTGCACTGAAATCCTCTATCCGCTTGTACTGCCTTCACAGTTTGTTTTATGAGTGAAACGAAGCCAGCCAGGGTTGCAAGTATTAGCTGTGACATTTACCAGCTCTGCATTCTTAAGAAACTCACTAAACCCTCTTGGGTCTCAGTTTCTCCACACTTCTACCTAACTCATGTGGCATTATGAGGGGCTGCTGGATGGGAAAGGGGGACACAGCCTGTGAAGTGCTACTATATACACGGAAATTAGATTTCAACAAGTTCCCACAGTGTAGTCACTGAAAACAACCGCTACCTTTCACATGCTGGTTAAGCCACTGTCTCTGAGGACCAGAAACTGTACTTTCAAGTTTTTCAAGTCAAGTTTTAATCAGACATACAGAGCATTCTTGATTTTTTTTAATGAAATTTAGATGCAGGAATAAAGTAATCTTTCATTAAAAACTGTAAAAATGAAAAAAAAAGAGAAAGAAATTAAAAGTCTCCAGACAGACTCAGTTTTCCTGGGTCTCTCCTATGTGTTCATGTTATTAAATTTTTGTTTGATTTTCTCCTGTTTAAAAAGTCTCCCAAAGGATACAAGAAATTTACTCACATGAAACCAAATTCAACTCTAAAATATTCTCCAGTAAATCACACCATCAACCACAACATGTTAACTGAGTGTCTACGTGGGCCAGGCACCATGATTGACACAAAGAAGGATAAATTTCCTACCTGTATAGAACATGTTCTCAAATGTGAGAAAAAATTCTGAAAACCTTTTCATTTGGTCCTCAACCCTGTGAGAAAGGCAAGGTGGGGGTGATTATCTCCTGAACAAAAAGGGTTCAAAGAAATTTCATGATTTAACCAAAGTCTCTCTGCTGGTTAGTGGAAGAGAATGGGTTCTTTCCATGTCTCCATACTGCACTCAACATGCTTATACTCTAGTCGCAGAGGTAAAAGACATACGTGAAGAGGCAATGCCCTGCACACAGCAGGTGCTCAATTAATACCTACTGGCGGTGGTGGCAGTGATAACGTGGTGATAACAGTGGCAGTGGTGATGGTGGTGATGATGATGACAATAGTGACAATGCCAGTGATGAGGATGACAGTGGGAGACTGGAAGGCACACAAGTGCATGCTAAATGAGTGGCAGATGATGGAGGCTCATGGAGCTCACCTGAGTCCTCTCCATACCAGTCAGTCTGCACATCCATCATGGAACTCATGGCTGCTACTTCTGCACCACCTGGTCTTCCCTCCAAACTCCGAGAAAAGTGGTGGTCCGCGTCCTCTTTGCTCTGGACAGCACTGTGGCGCAGGAGCGCCTCCAGGAATTGCTTCACGTGGTAGTTACTGTAAGCCAAGTCGACCGCCTGGCCTCTGGGCAAACCCTCCTCCCCGTGGGCCAGGCTCAGCGGGGCAGTACGCTGCTGCAGCTGTCCACCCACCTCCACCTCCACTTCCTCGGCATCGAACTCCACCTTGGGCTCCATCTGTTTGGGTCGAATGGAGCAGTCACTGTCCACTGAGCCACTGCCCTGGCTGTCTTTCCCCACCAGTGCCAGAGGGTGGCAGCCTCTGCAGTCACCACGGGAGAACTCTCTGGGCCGATCCACACTCTCTTCCCCCTCGGCTGGAGAGACCAAGCTCTTGGTCTCACAGGAGGTCCCTTCCCTGCCTGAACTGGGGCTTCCACTGTCCACCCGATGAGGCGCTGCTGCCGCTGCCGCTGCCGCTGCCGCTGCCGCTGCTGCCACCGCTGCAGCCACAGCGGGCTCTTTCTCCATCTTTCCGCAGATGTCTAGGGATGATCTGATGTATGTCTTGCAGAAGTTCACCACGTCGTTCAGCTGCAGGTAGCTGGCAGCCGACATAACTTCAATCACGTTCTCTCCACACAAATCCAACTTCCCAGAATAGAGGAAGTCTAAGATGGTGGAGAAGGCGTCGGAGGTGACGATGTCCAAGGAGGCGGTGCTGTGCCGCCCGCTATCCTGGATGTAGTGAATGAGCAGGGCTCGGAAATAGCCACTGTTGGCAAACAAGATGTTCCTGTGGGCCTTGAAGATCCGCTCTTCCACAATGATGCTGCAGTCACAGAAAAAGTCCCTCTGCCGCTGTTCATTCAACTCCCCTAAGAGCTTGGCGTAATAGGATTGCATCTCCATTTCTCCACCAGCTGCTGCCGCTTGGAGTAACCTGGATCTCTGCCAAGATTTTTTTTTTTCCAGTTAATTCACAAATCCCAACCTTACAAATAAGATGTTCGTTTTTTGTTTGTTTGTTTTGTTTCGTTTTTCTTTTAATTCTTCCATAAACCCTGGTTGAGTAATGTCTTTATAATATGGTCTGTTTGGGATCTAACAAAAATCAAAGGTTGTCTAACTGGGTTAACTGATGAAAACAAGAAAAGTAACTATTCCTAACTGTACATGGGTGCAGTACTTAGTATTTTACATGGATTCTTTCAATGAATTTTTATAAAAACCTTACGAGTAAGTACTAATATTATACGTTACAATATTGTACTTATTAATACTGTACTTTTGAGACTCAGAGAGGATAGGAGATGATCCAGCTGCAACACAGCCAGGACCCAAAACCTCCAGAGTTCATGCTCTTATAAATTACATTCTACTTTCTTCAAGGCTCAAAATATAGATAATACCTGAATCTAAGAATTACAGTCTCCAGGTAAGTCTCCAGTGTCCCAATACAGAACTTAGTGACTGGCAAGTACAGTCTCAGCTCACACCCATTACCATAAGTTTGTGAAAACATTTAGTGGATGCTTCGGCTAGCCAGCATGCATTCTCCATTCTTATGGTTTTAGTGCCCTTTTTGGCTTTGGTGGAATCATCCTTGGCCCCAACCACAGCCAACGTGCTTTGCATAACGCTGGCACCATCCCCAGCCTCCAGACGTGTAAGAGGTAACATAGGCTAAAACGGTCAACACATCTTACCCTCTGACCACAGTGACTGGCTCAGAGATGGCCATGTGACTTGGTCAGAGCCAATGAAAAGCAATGAAATGTTTGCTGGGGTCTCCAAAAAAGAGCGCTCTCTACTCTGTGGGCGTGTGGGATGTGAGGGATGCTGCTGCCACACCACAAGGGGAACCAGACTAACACAGATGACAGCCCAGCTCAAGCAGGAGCAACAGATGGAGCCCAGGGACACCATCTGAGCCCCAGCTCATGCTGTGCCAGAAGCCAATTGAGTCCCTTTTGGCTTTAGCTGGTCTGAGTTGGATTTTCTATCTCTTACAACGGAGACACTCCTAACTGATTGACTCCACAACCCTTGGTTCTCTCCTCTGTATTTTTATGTCCTGGACCTTCTCTGTCAGTGGACTATAAGCCCTTTGAAGGCATGAGCCGTGTCTTACTTCATAGATTTCCCCCACAGCCCCTGGCAGAGTGCTTTGGACAAAGTAGGTTTACTAAATACAAAGGAATACTCCTTTCTTACCTGCTAAGTAGAACGAGTATAAATCAAGTTTAAAGTCCGTCTGCTAATGAGGAAGACAGAAGCTGACCTTCCCCGAGCTCTCCTCTCCATCTTTTCCCATCACACAAAGCACGCAGCCATCCATCAACTTACCCCTTTTATTTACTGACCCACTGAGCTCTGAGAAGTTCCTACATCTTCTCCCTCTATCGGAATCCCAAAAGGCCTAGTTAGAGCTGCCAACCACAGCTAACAACTCTTCAGCACTCTTTCTTTCTACAAATGGAACGCAACAATCACCTCACCCAACAGAAATGAGGCACCTCCACCCCCCAGAAAGACCCTTTCCACTGGCCAAATAGATCCCTCAAGGCCTATGTGCCAACGAACAGACTTTACTCATAAAAGACCAACAACAACCTCGTTAAATGGCAATTTACAGCTACTTTACACATATTTATAACAAGTGATGCATTAAGTTTAGAAGCTAGAGAACCAGTTAGGAAAAGAAGTAGAGGAGCCTCTCTAAGCAAGTAAACTGACAAACTTAAAAGCGAGAACTGACAGCTAGGAAAAAGTAAAAAAGTTATAAAAAACAAACACAGAAATTTTTCAAAATATCAGCCTAAGGGTATTAAATGCTCCTACATAGTCAAAATGGCCTAAGGACATCACTAAATTATAGCCCAGGGCTATAATAGGTGGGACTAAGTCATCAAGATGATTCTTTTTATATTCATTTTAGACTCAAGGAAGTTATAATTTGGGGAATTTTTTTTTCATCCAAAGTAGTTATAATTAACATTTTCATTCAGAAAGGAAGAGAACTGTCAGATATCTGAAAAATTCTACTCTTCCCAAATAAATCAGCTCTGAAAGTTTTCACAGGACTAAGATTTCACTGTCCTTCTCACCTCTTCCAGCCACTCCAAACCTTCCTGGCTTTGGCAATCAAAATATTAAGGGGAAAACAAGACACAAGAGAATGCTACATTTAAATACCACATTCTGTTCTTCCTCAGGACTGAAAGAAAACCTATCAGACTGGTAAAATCACATTTTTCAATGTAATAATATCCACTGTTGATGGAACTGTCATTTGGAACACCATTTTAGAGGGGAATTTGGCAATATTTATCAAAACTTAAAATGTACACATCTTTTGTCCCCAAAATTTCATGGCTAAAAACTTACCCTTTTGAATGTATTCCCAAAAGTACATCAAGTCAAAAGTACAGAGATGTCCATTGCACGAGGTTTTTGTTCAAGTGCAAAAGAAGAAAAAATCTGAATGTCCACCAATAGGGGACAAGTTAAATCAATGAGGTACATTCACACAGTGGAAGACTATGCAACCATGCATTTAATGAGCTAGAGCTGTCTGTGTTCATATAAAAAAGTCACCAAGATATATTAAGGAAAAAGGCAAGATGCAAAACAAAATGTGCAGTATGATCCGATCTATGTACATGTTTTTGCTGGTATATGTAAGAATTTTTTTCTGGAAGGTTTTATGAGCAAGAGTTAACAGCAGATATCCTTGAGGAGAGGGACTAGGGGTAAGAGGTGTGTGGAAGGACCTTCATTTTTCATTTATAAACTTTCTGTATTGTTAGGATCTTTTACTGTGTGCATATATTGCTTTTTTTTTCCTTTCCTTTTTAGCAAAGAATAAAAAGGAGGAGGTGCAGAGGGATAAGGAGTTGGTAAATCAGGGGGATAAATACCTAAGTAGGCCCAATACTTCTTGTAGAATGGTCTTATCTACAGGGCCTCCTCCCAGGTACTTGCATTTTTTCACTGGAAGATGCTCCTTTCCAGCAATAGTACCCAAAACCCATTTCCTCTGGCTTCCTCTCTGCAAACATTCTAGATTCTACCTGGTCGTATAAATACCCCGACTTTGCAAAAGTCTATCCACATACTTTCTTCAAACCTTTCTCCAATCCTGCATTTGGCATACAAGGTGGAAGTATTTATTCACATCAATCCCACTTGACTTCAGTGCTCTGCATCCCTGGCACATGCTGAGGATCACCACTTCTCCTGGAAAGGAAGCTCTTAGGGTACACTGCTCCCAGAAGCACACTTATCCACATTCTGGCAGTGACACTCCCAACCTTCCCACGGTTCCAATTCAACAGTTACTGGCTACAAGCAATGCCTGACACAAGGAAGATGCTAGGAATAGAAAAATGAACCAAGTACAGCTCATGTCCTCCAGGAGAGGGCAGATGCCAACACTAGTACCTGCAACCAACTCCGACATTCCCCTGAGGGGATCGCAAGACTGTCTTCACTCCAGTGCCAAAAGCAGCTTTGAATTCCACCCACTCTTTCTGACAACACTCCTCCAGTATCACCAACAGGAGAATGATGGAAACCTGCTCATCAATTGTTAGCATGTACTGAGTGCTACTCCTCATGAAGCGCTGTAAGAAATACTTTACAAGCATTAATTAATTTTAATCCCACAATAACTCAGTGCAGTAGATAAAATCATTATATCCTCTTTTTCAGAGAAGGAAATTGAGGTTCAGATTTACAGATAACACGCTGATGCTAGGATTGGGACAGAGATTCGTTTGAATCCCAGAGTTGACATCCTTCACCACTATGCCAAATTGATTTCCCAAACCCTCCAGGAAACCGCGAGAAGGGCTGGGGAACTCACTCACTCCTTTCCCCAACGCACGGAGTGCTGGGGAACTACTCGGAAGAAGAGTTTCCACTTTCACAGAAAGTATTTCTGGGTCAACTGTATCTTTGATTCACCAGCTAAACTGATCGCAAGACAAGGGGATCCTTCCCCATCCGGAGCCAGACGACCCTGCAGAAATCACCAGAACCCGTTACTGTACATGGTCTTTGGCCCCCGAGGGTGAGAACCGAGTCCTTGCCCCTCCCATGGCCTCTCCCGGACAAAGTGACCATCGCTGCGACGGTCACTGCCCCAGCGACCTGGCGCCATCAGAATGAGCGCGTGCCCATACCACCCGCTGGACGACGCCCGGGGTAGGGGGCAACCCAATGTCAGGGAAGGAGGGGAGGGAGGGGGTCGGTCATCGAGTGAGGGTTCGCCCGGCTGGGTCCGGGGATTCGCCAAGGCAGGACGGTCCGAGAGAGGCCGACCGAGGCGGAACATCCCTGCCCGCTGCCCATCCTGGGCCCCTCCCTAGCGCCCCGAATCCTCCCCAAGCCAATGAAAGCGGCACCGTAAACCTGCTTCTCAGCTCACCTTCCAGCGGGTTGCAGCCCCGCCGCCGCCGAGCTACGCGCACCGGCACGCCCCCCTTTCATTCACCTGTCGCCCCCTCCGGTGAGAGGCTGGGCAGCCTACTAATCATGAGTGCTCCTGGCCTGAGGAAGGCGGGCCCTTGGGCCAGAAGGTTGGTCAATGGCTCTGGTGCCCCCTCCAGAGGATGCGCTCTGAAGGCTCCAGTTCTCGCGGGGTGATGGGAGTTGTGGTCTCAGCGTTCATTTGTCGGGCAAAGATACAGTGGACAAAACTACAAGTACCAAGATGCCAAAAGGGGCAAGGACCAGAACTTGTAAAAGGCTGGAGCTCGGTTCGGTCTTCTGAGTCCCACTTGAGGGACCTGCGAAGTAACGGTCTCTTTGTCCGAAGAGCTAAAAGCACGTCGTGCATATTAATACAGCCTGGAGAGTAAGAGCTATAACCTGTCAGTCCGCACACATTTTACAACTGCCAGCGC